AGCTAAAATCAAAGTGTTTACAAAACATCATTGCATGCTTTCTGTAAAGTTTCCTGTCTTTCAATTATTTCATAAATATAATTCTAGATATTGCCAAACATTAAAATACAATAAATTAACATTGAGCAATTGTAAGTTATTAAAAGGTATATACAGCACACTAAGAGACCTTTATAAAGGCTTCCTGCACATTAAAAATTTTTTTTTTTTTTTTTGCATTAAGAAAAATTAAAAACGTTTTCAGAAATTTTAAAAAGCAGTTTAACAAACAGATAAACAGTTATAGCAAAATGCTAAACCGATAAAAAAATTGATAGCATATAACAAAATCGAGAGGATGTAAAAAAATCAGGAGTTGAATTTTTAAAATTAAAAATGGTTTGATTAAAGTAAGGGTAACATTTTTTTAAATTAATTTAAATTAGCTTTCATATATTATTTAGAAAATTTTAAAGATCATTTTTTGATACCATATCACACCACATATTTCTTTGTTAAATCTTACTTCACTATTAATTATGGATTATAAATTTTAATAAACTCCTAAAATTCAAAAAGGATAACTGTTTACTCCATTTTGATTGCATCTGTAAAGTTAATAACAAGCTACTAGACCTTTCATAAACTTTACTGATTACTTCGTTAAATAACTTTTAAAACTTTTAACTTTGTTAAAACCAAACCAACAAAATTTTGTTGATTTAATATCCTACGCCATATCATATAGTTGACAGACTCTACCATTCGATATGACAGATTCATAAGTGTATATCAAACATCCTTTTTATTATTATTTTTTTACTATTAAAAACAAAATTATTATTGTTATAATCTTGATAATAATAAAAAGCAACTTAAGCTAACACAACTAGATTTGTGTAGGTATGCGGGTAATATACCTACCTAACATAACTAGATCTGCTTAGGTATGCGGGCAACATACCTACCTAACACAACTAGATCTGCATAGGTATGTGGGCAAGTTGGTGCGTTTATAATTTTTTCTCCCCTCAAATGATAAAAAATTGATATTTCGTAGAATTTTAGAGGACATTAAAAATCTGGATGTAAAAATTGAAATGTTCAAGTGTTTAAAAGTAAATAACGAAAGTGGTGAATTTAAAAATCAAATAAATATTTTCTTTGGTTTTTTTATACTCTTTTGAAACTTATAAACTATAATTTTTATATAAATTACTATAAAAGTTTTTTTTCTAGATAAGCTCCATGTTCTGAAAAAAATTAATTTTTAAAAAGTTCATACTTAGAACAAAACTCTTTGTATCAGACGTGAATTCGATGCTGGTAGATTATTAGTTGTAAGGGTGAAGAAGTTAGTGTAAATTGATACTTTTACATGCTTCATGAAAATTAATATTTGTTCTATCTAACTACGAGATATTCTGAAGATTATTTAATGTTTTTATTGAACAAATTTCTTTGTACCAAATCTGAAAATTAGGCGCAATTAAATTGCACTAAAACTGTTACTTCCATACAGTTTTAGCGCAATTAAATTGCGCTAAAACTGTTACTTCCATGGTTTAATTACTGCAAACTGTTGCTGGCAAGGTGCAAATTTAATTTGAAAATAGTTCCCAGTTCCCAAATAACCTAACTATTGTCCAAATGTTAGACATACATCTTCTGGAGATTTTCTGCTGCTTCTCCAGCTCTGTGACATTTTTAGCTGCGACATTGTTTGTGGAAAAAGAAAATTGAAAATTTTTGCAACCAGCTTCTGTTCCTAAAATCTTACTTAATTTCCACAGGTAGAACTCTTGGCACTGGCAGTCATTAAGACATTCTCCAATGAGTTTCTGAAGTATTTCATCTTGCGCAACTTAGAGGACACAAGCTGATGCAGAAAAGTCAATGCTTAATTTTTAAAGTTTTTAGAATACAAAATATAAATCAGTCAAAATTTGATGTAGTTAAAATTAATAATTCGTTTTCTTTATGCGTTCTTTTGAGTTCTTGCTTGATCATTGTAAAAAAACACTTTGAGAATATCAGCATAGCAATTTTTAAAGGGTTGCGCCGTATTTATTCTTGCTGACCACCGTGTGGCGCACAACTTTTTCAGTTTCGGTTTTTTCAATCATCCTCCTTAAGTACTAACAGTTGTGTTAACAAGGACCCAAAAAGTTTCCTTAATTTTTAAAGTATTGCTTGCAATGCATACTCATCGCACAACTATCAAAATTTGATATGTTCTGGTAATATCACTCGTAGTATCCACTATTATTTTGTAGAATTGGAACGTTTGTATTATGGAAATAAGTTAATTCCATCTGTATTGTCGCACTTAGGTAGTTCACTTATCTTGCTGGAGTCCAAAGAAGGTCTAGAATTACAGGATCAAAACATACCTGCATTGTCGCAATTTCAAGAAAGTTCCCTTCATAGCTGGAATTTTCAGACACTTTCTTGCAATGACTGCGGAACGCCAGGCTCATAGCTGCAAGTATCAATATGATGATGTTAACATTTCAACAATTTCAAAGTAAAATGTAACTTTAGAAGTTTAGAAGTTGGCATATTTTCAAATGTTTTTTACTTATTGTCATTATCTAACTGATATCCTGCTTTCGATTGTAAAAATGAACTGAAAGATCTACAATGTACTTGTGTTTTCTTTATGAGATTTTCTTTTTTAGCCCCCTTCTTGGCAAGTGACAAAACCCGCCCCTGAGTTCTTGAGATTTCCAAGCACTCCATTGGTGTAATTCCTTTTGAACGAGAAAAGGGGCAACAAACAACATACAGTATTTACAGTAGGGTTTTCCAAAATAGGCAAGTAGCAGATTGTTCCAATTTCTAGCTACTAATTACTGCAATGTAAAATTTTTCAGAGAAAAGTTGTCGACCGAATTTCTCGTTCAAGGAATAAACTAGCTTGGTCTAATATTTTTTTTTTTGGCGTCAGAAACGCCTAAAGATTTAGTGTTTAAATGTGCTGGCTATAAGTATCGTCAAGTTGGTATTAAACTTACACTTACTCGGTGTAGTTAAGGTAATTTTAAAATATTATAGCGTCTGTATGATATTTTGTTGACTACGACATATTTCCGTTAAATGATCAGCAGCCGTATTCTCATCTCTCCGTTAAGCTTAACGAAGCTTTTGTCTGAGATTTCATTCAATATATCTAAGTAAAGAAATGACAAAAATATTATTTAAATTTTTAAAAGTAAAACTAATACTAAAATAAAACATTTATTTTTAAAAATTTATATTTTTAAAGAACTTTTTTATTAATATCTTTAAAAAGAAATTTTTTACTAACGCTCCGTTAAGCTTAACGGAGAGATGAGAATACGGCTGCAGGTCTGTGAATTATGAAAAGAGAAAAAAAATTAAAATGATAAATTTTGTGGTATCATAAAATATAAATATTTGTATCGAAAAACTTAGACCAAAGATTTATTTTTGTTAAAAAAAAATCTTCTTAAAATCACAATTGCTTGTCCAAATTTGAATAAGATTTTAAATAAATACATTTTTTAGATGAAATGAACATCATAGTTTAATAATATGATCTGTTCTGATCGTTTATTGACAATTTTTTTTAATTATAAGCTTTTTCTTGGTCGGAATTCTAGTATTTTATGTGAAAAATAATAGAAATATTGTATTTTGACAATTATATAGTTAATATACGTCAGAATCGATTAGAACTAGGATCTATAGTGGGTTAAAGCACTTTTTCAAAAAAAATTAATTAAGTTCATGTTAACGCCGATGAGCGAAATTGATCTAAAGACTCCAAAATGGTGCACTTTAGCAAAAAAAAATTGTTACATCTAAGCAAAAAAAATTGTTACATCTATAGCTCTTGTTTATACATAATACTCTAATAAAATCATGCTAATTTCAAATAAAAGAATTTGAATAATTTGGAAATCGCGTTAACTATACTGAGCCTTTAAAGGCCTTTTTAACATTTTACATTTTAAAGGCCTTTTTACAAAAAAAAAGGCCTTTAAAGGCCTTTTTAACATTTAAGATTTTAAAGGCCTTTTTAACATTTATTGAACTTCGCGACGTAAGGACTATTTCCAAATTAGTGCGCGAAATTTTTCAAACGAATTTAAGGCCGTTTTCCACAAGACGAAATATTCGCGCGAAGCGAATTTTTTTGCTATGACGAAACGCTGTTTTGATTTCCACTTACTTTCTTTCGCGCTAGTTTTTTTTCGTTGTCAATAATAAAAATGACAGCATTAAGTTTACGCTGTATGATTAACTAAAGACAGTTATTACTTTTTTAGCATACTTTCTACTTTGAAACATGTGAAAATTTCTTTCCGTGCATTAATAATAACATTTCTGTCTTTATATGTAAGAAGTGATATCATTTTGTAAAATAATCATTTAATATAAGGTTGTTTTTTTTACAAGAAAGTATAAGAAAATAAATGCTTAACTCTGATATGATCATTTCTATTAAAAACTGTTACTGCAAGAACGAACAGCAGGTTTAACTCTATGTAGAGTTTTTCACAAAAAGGTTTATCTGGACAATTGAAGATAAACACTCTTATGAAGTGTAACTTTCGTAATTGACAGTGTGAAAATTTATATTTGTAAACTCTTGATTAAGTTTTATATAAAAGTCTTGTCATTTTTTTATATAAGTCTTGCTCCTTATTTGATGAATTTACTCATCCTTGTCAATTTTCAGAGTAAGTTTATATAAAATTAATAATAACGCCAGATTAAGAATTTTGTTTTTTGTTACTTTGAAAACAACATGATTTCGCTCTTTTTTACTGTCGACATTACATGATATTATATTCAACTACTGTTGACATTACATGATATAATATTCAAAACTTGATTGGTTTTCGCTTCTGGCGATTCGCAAAAAGTCGAAATGAATCCGACTTTTTTTTTCGCTGCAACGAAACGCTGTAGCGATAAAAATTACCAAAAGTGTTTAATCTGCGCATGCTCAACGAAAAAAAAAATAAACTATAAAATGAACTATAAGAGGACATTAAAAATAGTTACATTAAAAAAATACTTTTTTAATGTAACTATTTTTAATATCCTCTTATAGTTCATTTTATAGTGTTTAATTATCCAGCCTTGAGATGGAGAGTAGTTTCTCTAATGTAACAGGAGTTACAACCTGCACATACAATTTTATCATGAAAAAATAATGTTTTTAATTATATAGCATTTCTAATAAATTAGCAAGATGATGTAAGTAACTTTTTAACTATGTTATTAAGGTTTTATTGTTAAATCTTGATTATTTAAAATTATTGCTTTGTTACCCAGGGGTACTATCGGCGGGCAGTTGCTCTCAGTCGAATGGGGAGGTATACAGAGTCGCTAGCTTCTTATGCATCAGCACTGGCACATGATTGCAAAAGTAGTCAATTACTTAAGGCTTTAATAGATGCTGCATTAAGATCTCCTTTGCAAGGTATGTGTGTGTGTGCATGTGTACCAAGGTTAATGTCTATAACAATTATTTTATGTCTAATAAATGTTGTCTATAACAGTTAATTATTTACTTGTTATTGTTTAGTTGTATTTGTATTTATAGTTTATAAGTATAATTTAGTTGTATTTGTATTTATAGTTTATAAAGTTAAACTATGTAGATATTATTTTTTTATTATGGTTTTATAATATTACAACTTTATTTTTGTTATTACCGCAACTACACAGCATAATAACTATCATTTTACATAAATATATAGTTATAGCAGTTATCTCAACCATAATCTTTCATTTAAATTGTATTTATAATTTGATAATAGGTTTACAGTTTTTAACATTTCTTCTATAAAAAAAAGTAAGAGAAAGTTTTAATTAAGAATTGTACTTTTCAAACCTATTGTGAATTTTTAGTATTTAAAATTAAATATTTGCGAAAAAAATTTTTTCTTCTTGTAAACATATCAAATAATAATACCAATTAACATATGACATATTTATGAAATATAAATATATAAAAAATAAAATGAATATAGGTAATAAAAATATAAAATAAAGTTGTAACTAGTTTTGAAATATATAAAGTAATACTGTTTTTTAGATAATTTATATCAGATTTGTTGATACTTGCTATTTGTGTTTATTATTAAAATTATTTTTTAATATATCTTTTATAAAATAAAAATACAGATGATAGAAATCATGTTTATGAGATACTATTTTAGGCGTATTATAAATGAAAAAAAAATTTTGGATTTTATTTGTTGAACAATTTGGTACAACCTTTTGAACCTATTTTAACTTTTTTTACCATGAATAAAAGTTTTTTTTTATTTTCTATATATACTTTTGAAATATAGTATATAGGAATTCCTATAACTTTTCTATTGAAATTTTAATAATTTTTATAGAAGTTGCTATAAAATATTTATTTCTGTATAATATGTGGAGAAAGAAAGAAATATATATAAAAACAGATTTTTTGTAGCTATCTTTATAAAAAACCTTTATTTTTATAAATCATGTTTCAAAAGTATTTTCGAAATAAATGAAACTTTTTTGTATTTTTAAGTGACTTCATTTATGGCTAATGCTTTTTTGTTGCATTTAACTACAATAAAAAAAAAAAAAAATTTAAAACAAAAAAATAAGTTACTTTAAAAAAATGTTTTTAAAAGAGAATTTGAAAAAAAAGAAATAAACAAAATATACAAGAGCTTAAGAAATAAACAAAATATAAATCAGCATATTTTTAACAAACAAGTGAAAAGAAAAAGGAAAATAGATAAAATGCTTTAAAAAAGTTAAAAATGGAACTTTATACAAAAAAGATGAAATACATATATTTTATACTTTTATAAGCTTTCAATTTTTGTTTGTAATTTTTATAATTGTTAATAAGTCAATTAAGATTAGCAGTTATAAAGATTGTTAGTTATGAAGTAGTTATTGTAGTAATTATTGTAATTTTTAAGTATTATGTAATATTTAATAGATTATTGTTATGTGCAAATATCCAGTAACTTTATCAGAGTGATAAAGTTACTTCATGAAATGGTTGATTTTGTCTCTGTTTTTTTTTTTAAATTTTTGAAAGTAAATATTTTAAATGGTTTGTTAAAGGTTGTAATTATTTGATGAAGTAAATAATTATATACATCAAGTTCTTTAAGAAATGTATTTTTTATCAAAAGTTTAAAATCTATAAAAGCCTTGAATTTGTTATGGACATCAAGTATTGAAAAAAGTATTTATTGTGATGCTGCTTTGATTTAAAAAAAGTAATTTTATGTTATTGTAATGTAATGCAATGTTACTTTGATGTAAACCATTGTCATCATGCTCATTTCATATTATAGAATATATAGAAGTTGTTCACACAAACAATTTTTTTTAGTTATGCATTGTTTTGTATGTATTATATGTTTATATTTACATTAGATATTTTATTGTTTCATTAAATGTAGTTAACATTGTTTTAGAGATATTAGAGCCTTTATTTAAGCAAATTGAATCTATTGATAAAAATGAAAAGGCATTTGCTGTTGTTGCTCTAATTGGCCAAGAGATCATTTCCAGTATGGATATTCTGTCAGCTATTGTAGTCCTTGAAAGTGCATTACATATTGGAACAGAAGACTTGCATTTAAAAGCATCTGTATACTCAGCGTTGAGTAGTTCGTATTGGAATATTGACAACATAAAAAATGGACTGCATTATATGCACCAAGAACTATTGATATATGAGACACTGAATGATCTAACTGGTATGTGCAGGGTTAATGGAAATTTAGGTAGTGCTTATTATGCCCTAGAACAGTATCATGAGGCGAAACAACACTATTACATCCAGTTTGAGATGTCTCAAACTTTACAAGACCATCATGTTTCATGTGCAGCATTAACTTCTCTTGGCCGTGTTTTGATTGCTTTAAAAGATTATGCTGGGTCAATTGACTGCCACAAAAAATGTGCTTCACTTTTTAAAAAAATGAACTTACACCTAGAAGAAATTGGAGAGCTTAGTAATGTTGCAAATATATATTCATTTTTGGGCGAATTTTTAACAGCAGAACATTTTTTGTTAGAATGTTTGAAAGTTTCTCAGGTACTTAAACAAATAGAAGAAAAATGTAAAGTTTTAAATAGGCTTGGTACATTATATCAGAACATGCACAATATTGACGAAGCTGTAAAGGTATTTCAAGAAATGTTACAAATTTCTCAAGATGCTAAAAATTATGATCTTGTATGTCAATCATTGTCTTATCTTGGTCATACTTACAGAATACAAAAGAACTTAAAACTGGCTGAAAGTATTCACAAGCTTCAACTTCAAAAGGCAGAAGAGCTAGGATCTTTTATCTTAGAGAGTAGAGCTCTTACAGATCTCGGGGTTACTTATTTTCATATGAGTAAGTTTGAATTGGCTTTAAAGTCTCATAAAGCTCATTTAAAGTTATGTGAAAAGTTCAATGACAAAGAAGGAAAAGTTAAAGCTTATGGAAATATTGGTAATGTTTATCAAATGATTCAAGAGTATGAAAAAGCAATAAAATACCATAAGATGGGCATTACATGTGCATTAGAACTCAATGATAGATATTCTGAGGCATCCTTACATGGTAACCTTGGAGTGGCTTATCAGTCTTTAAACATGATGAATGAAGCAAAAGAACATTATGAAATTCATTTAACAATTGCAAAAGAAATGAATTATTTGAGATCAGAATGTGTTGCTGAAAGTAACTTGGGTAATTATTTTATAATAAAAAATTTAATCATTTGCTATTTTTTATATATTTTTTATTTTTATATATTGTTATTCGGCAGGGCCGATCGTATTTGGGTGCTGCCCAAATTAAAAATTGAGGATTTTTTTTTACATTTTTTACAGCAAATACAGTTTTTTTTGCAAAAAAGCACCGATTTTTGGCAATATCTCAGCTAAATTTCTCCAGGGCAGGGGAGGAGGGTAACGACACCAAAACTATTTTCTTTTTTTTACTTTTTACATTTATACTTTTTATTTTTTTACAGTTTATATACATTGAATGACAATTAGGTAGAATATGCAAGAAGTGCTGTTACATTAACTGAGGGTTTTGGTTTTGGCAGGCAATCTATAAATTAAATTTAACAAAAAAAACATAAAGGTTACATTTTATGGTAAAAATTGAAGACAATCAAGAAAGAGTTTTTGATCTAAAAGCAGGTGATGTTAGATCTAACCACACAAATATGGAACCATAGAGGTTAATATTTCATGCAACCCTCAGAACTAGGGTTGGCATTCAGAAATGCCAACCTAACTGCTAACCTGAAAGTATTTGAGGTCGGCAAAAAATTGCCGACCTCGTTTCTATGTTTTATGGTCAGACTTTTGTATCAAATAATTTTTGCCAACCTGATGCTGACCTCAAAAAGATTGAGATTAGCAAATTATTGCCGACCTGATTTTTCCTCATTCCAAGGGTTGTTCATGTATATCATTTCCCAATGTTTGTATACCTCTAGCATGATATTTAAATTTAAATTGAAATTAAACTCTGAAAAGTATATTTTTGTTTGTTTAGGTAATTTCTCAAGTGTTTTAGGAAGATTGCACGAAGCTCTGCCTCATTATGAAAATCATCTTTTGCTTGCTAAAAAGTTAAATGACAAACTTGAGGTTTGCAAAGCTATGCAAAATCTGGCTCATATTTATTATAGATTAAATAGATATAATGAGTCTATAAAGTGCTATGAAGAATCTTTATCATTAGCAAATGAATTGGATGCAAACGAATTGATTGGATTAGCATATTACAATTTGGGATTAGTTTACTTGGCTGATAATGACTTTGAAAAAGCAGTTCGTTGTCAGAAACTGCTTCTTGCATCAGCTCAAGAGAAAAAAAATGTTTTTAGTATATGTAAAGCTTATGGAAATTTAGGCCTAATTTATATGAAAATGGGAAAACACAGTGATGCTAAAGATTATTTCAAAGAGCAAATTTGTGCAGCAGAAAAGTCTTCAATAGAGACATTAAAATGTGATTGTTATAGAGACTTTGCTGTTGCTCTGGCTTCTGAGAAGCTTTACAAAGATGCCTGTGAGCAATATGAAAAAGAAATAGCATTGCGCCGAAAGTTAAATAATGAAAAACTGTTTGAATCAATACTTTCATTTGCATCATTTTTAGAAACAATAAAAGATTTTGATTATGCTTACAAATGTTATAGTGAACTATTCCAAGCAACAAAGCTCCAAAAAGATTTAAAAAACTGTAAAAAGGTATGCCATTTATTGGGGAACTTAAGCATAAAAATGAAAAAATTTAAAAAAGCTATATCGTCTTTTATATTGGAATTAAAATGCACAGAAATTTATCGTGTGGAAATAACTGACATTATTAATATTCATAGGCTGTTGAGTGAATGTTATGACAATTTAAATGACTTTGAAAATGCAGCATATTATTTATTAGAATGTCAAGCGATTGCTGTTTTCATGAAAAACTATTCAATAGAAAATGAGATAAACAAATGTCTTCGCCAACTTTGTGAGAAATACAATGACTATAAATCAGCATTGATGTACTCCGAAAAGAGATTAATATCGTGTCAAGAGCTAACTGATTTTGATAAATGTGATGCTTATAAAGATATTGCAGCATCTCACTTATTATTAAAAAATTATGATTCATCTTTTTTTTACTATAACCAATTACTTTCACTTGCTAAAGAGTTTAACATTTTACAGTTTGAATATGATGCATATACAGGACTTGGATTGGCTTATGCTCAAGTATTAAACTTTATGGAATCTTTAAAATACTATTTATGTGCTGTAGAATGCTCAGAAAAATTAAGCAAACCTTTTATAAAAGCAGAATGTTTAGTTAACATTGGAGATTGCTACCAATATAGTAGTGATAATCAACATGCTTTAGAATATTATAAAAAGGCACTGGAGATTTGTCATAAAAATGATTTTAAAACCATAAAAGTTACCATTTTTGGCCGCATTGGAAAAACATTTCATTTACTTGGTAATTCAAAAAAAGCAATCTCTTATCTTTGCATGGCAGTATCTGTTTGTGAACAGCTACAAGACCCTGCTGAGTTCATTAAATGTTTTTACCGCCTTGGTCTAAAATTTTTTTTTGAAAATGATAATGAATCATCAAGTAAGTGTTTTCAAAAAGTGATTGATTTCATTGAGGAAAATGAACTAAAAACAGATTTGCTATTGAAAGAAAGAAATTTTATAAAAGCTTCTTATGAAATGCTTCAAAAGGTTTATGTTACTAAAAAAGAATACCTGCAAGCTATGTTTGTTGCAGAAAAAGGAAATATTTTCAATCGAAAGCTACTTATAAGTAAGTCAGGTATAAAAATTTGCATAAATATCCCATTATTCTCTAAGTTTGTTTATTCTTTAAAAACTGTTACACATACTACATGTCTCTATTCAATTGTAATTGGCAAGTTGTATTGTTGGATAATAAAACCAAATGAAGGGTTTGTGAAATTCTGGGAAAAAAGTGTTGATGAAACCAATCTTGACTCAACTTTTTTTTTATCAGATTTGGATAATTTTGTTACATGTATTTCAGGAAAAACATTAAAAACTCTTAATGACCTTGTTTTTAGTGCACGTAGAAGCTTTAATGTTGAGGGAGATTTATGCATCCATTCAAAATTTGATAATAGTTTACCAAATAATGAACTGTTAGATAATAAAGATAATCAAAATAAACCAAATGAGTTTGCAAAATCCAAACTTGAAGATTTTGATGTTGATTGTCAACTTAAAACTGCTAATTATTGTTTATATTTGCTATTTTTTTCTCAGGTTGTTTCATTTTTAGATGCTTTTGAAAAAACTTACACTGAAAAATATGATATGATTTTGGTGTTGCCATGCGAAATTACACTTGTACCATTCTATGTTTTTGAAGATGACTCAAAAAGGTCATTTTTATATGAGCATTTCAATTTTTTTTTCAGCACAGACATGTTTTCATTATTGGAAAATTCCAACAACAAAGTTATACCTTTATCTCAAGAAGAAAATTTTATAATATTCGGAGAAAAAGTTTGTAATAATGAAACTAGAAACATTAACAAAGTACTTAAACATTCAACTTTAATTACCAGTAACTCGTCCAAAGAAGAAATACTTCAACAAATATCTTCTAGTACTATAAGTCACATTGCATTAAATGTGATGTGGCATACACCAGGGATTTGTTTTCCTTACATTGACAATATTGTTGAACATAATTGTATCGACCTACAAATATTAGACCTTGATGATAATCGCCCAGTCAGCACTCCTAACATAATTATTTCTGTAAAAGATATCATATGCAAAACTAAGTTCCATTCAAAGCTAATAGTATTTGGAGTAAATATTTTTAATGATTCGATTTGTGTTGATGGTATGCAGTCTCTAGTTTCATCATTTCTAATAAATGGATGTGAGACAATTTTAACATCTCAATGGCCTATATCTAAAGGGGCATGCTCCTATTTTTTTAGTAAGTTTTATGAACAATTCAGTCAAAGGGTTCCAGTTTACAATGCTTTTAACAATGCTATCAAAGAAATGCAAGCCTCTAATGATTATAACAGTCCTTCTAATTGGGCTGGCCTTGTAATATATGGAAAAAATTGTCAGTTAACCAAAAAAGCATGCAATTTCACTAAGGCATTTAACAAGTTTTTAGAAGTTCCAAATCGTGATTCGCTAAAGATAATTCTTCATTTGGTAAGTTGAGATTAGATTTTTGTAAACATTTTTTTACAGACATCTGTTTATTTGTTTCTCCTTTTTTGTCTAATTTAGGTTGAAACAGCCCAGAAGCGCCTTGCACAAGATCTTCGAACATCTTTATACATAACAGAAGAAAGTATTCAAGCCAAACTTTTACCAACTAATGTTAACTGGAAACCTATTTTAGTATCATTAGGATTTCGATTTGAGAAAGCTCATGATAATATTCCAGATGCTGTATTCTTTCCAGAATATGAATATACAAATCTACTTGCTAAAGCATCCAAAGCTTTGTATGGATTTCTTGGTATGCATGTTTCTTTTTTTTTTTTTTTTTTTTGAACAAATTTAACAATCAACCATGATTTAAATTCAATTTTGAATAATTCTATGCGGTTATTGGTATCTTTAAGAGGATTTTCAAATTCTTTTGTATCAATTTTTATTTATGCAAAATAAATCTCATAAAAGAAAAGTCAATTGATCTCTCAAACTCCTTCCCTGCATATTTTCAAGATGAAAAATTTGTCTAAAACTGAGTTGAGAAATGAGATTTTCTTTGTTTATTTTGAATTTTCAAACTTCAACTTTTTTTTTAAGTTCAAACTCTTGCTTACATTAATAAGAAGTAATTGGTTATTTATTAAAATAATCTCTGATAATCAAATAGAGATCTAAATTGCAAACAAATGCAAATGAGAATCAAAATAGCATTTAGTGCATTTTAGTACATGTTTTGATTTTGAATTATTGCTTTAAATGTTTTTGAAAAATGTCTAGAGAAAAAGCACAAAATAATATTGCTAACAAAGATGTTGTTTATAAAATCAATACTGCTCCCTGTTTAAATATTGCATCATACTTTTTTTTTATAAATAAATGCATCATTTATTTTTATAAAAAAAAAGGAGTTACACCTAAAAAAACAAAGTAGTAAATAAAACATAGAAAGAATATAGGAGTTACACCTAAAAAATAGGAGTTACACCTAAAAAAACAAAATAGTAAATAAAACATAGAAAGAATTAAAAAGAATAAACATAGAAAACTAACATAAAAACTTAGAAGAGAAAAAAAAACAAAAAAAAGAAAAGAAAACAAAGCAATTTTGGGCTCATAATATAAATAATAGATAAAAGCAATGGCAAATAGTAAAATTTATAACTATCACAGTAATTAATACAGTAATATATTAAAGCAATAATAATAAAAGATAAAATTAATATTCATTAGATATATACTCAAATAAATATTTCTTAATTTGGTTTCGATTGAGAAGGATGTTGGTACTAAAAGTGTATTTAGTTAAAAAAAAGTTCTTATAAATGATATTAATTAGTTCCAGTAAAAAAATACATTGATGTTTTATGAAGAGCTTGCTATATTTGACAGTCTTTGTTAAACATTAAACTTTAGTTTTTTTGTCTCTTATTTATAACAATCTGTCAGTGATTATATATTCACGTCATCTATGTCATGAATTTTGACTATAGTTCATAAATTTGATTAATTTTCTTCACTAAAAATTTAAGTAGGTAATGATGTTACTGAAAATAATTTTACTGAAAAAAAAATTTTTTTTCAGTACATCGTTTGTCTTTTTTCAGTACATCTTACTGTCTTTGAAGACTTTAAGGACACGTTTTGAAAAATTTGTCACTTTCATATCTAGTTCCTTCATATACTTATCTTATCTTAGACACTTATGCATTCTTTCATACCCAGTTCCTTTTATACTTAACTCTTTGTTTGTGTTTATTTTTGTAAACATCATTGGTAAACAAAGTTAACCATGTTATATACACCCTTATTATATGCTCCCATATTATATACACCCATGTTAATATACTCCTATATTATGTACACCCATATTATATAAACCCATATTATTTATGATCTTTGGTAAGTTGAAGTTTAACAATTAACTCCTCAGGAAATAGAATTTTATCACAATCAACCAACCGGATTACACTATGACATCCTCTTGTTTAATATTTACATATTGTATTCACATATTTGCATATTGGCTAGCAAGTTGACCAACAATATGACTCATTTATTCATTTATTTAATTCAAATTATTGATCCCCATTTCCCATTTAAGTATTTCTTGAAGGCAAACCTTAATCATTCAATTATAAACGTTAGAACTACAACTTTTTAAATTTTTTTTTATTTAAAATATTTTACTTAATAAAAAAATTTATAATTTTCAAATTTTTATTTTAAATTAGATTTATTTTATTTTATCTGAATTTTATTTATTTAAGAAAATAATCTCCTTTAAATGTTTTTAAATTTTTTTTTAGGTCTTAACAAAAATGGCTTGTTAGCAATATCACGATTGCGTTCTTCCCCTACTGCAGTTTTGCATCTTCAAAAGATTGTAAGTTTTGTAAGTAAGAAATTTGAAATCTTGCATGCAATGTAAGTAAGGAGTGTGAGATCTTGAAAATAATAAAAAGTTAAGAATATAAATTCTTGCATATAATATTGCATAGAAGTTGCATTAAAATTGCATGGATAAATAATAGTAAACTAAAGTTTAAAAAACTTTTATTTCAATTTATAATAATGACTTAATATAGTTCTCCTACCCAATTTTCTTTTTTTTTTAGCCTTAAGTTTAGTGGTCACTTTCCCCAAATAAAATTTCCCCTAAAATTTATAAAATAACATAGAGTTAATTTTATAGTTCTAGTTTAAAAACTTATAGAAAAGCTGTCATCACCATGATCATGGTTTGCCATCACCATAATCACCATGATCATATTTGTGATAATCATGGTTGTGGGTGGGACTTTCAATTTAGTTTTGGCTGTCAGTTTTTGTCCAATAACATATTGGGTTGATTGGAGGAAAAAAAAACTTGTAACTAAAAACTTGATTATAAAGGAATAAATGATAAATAATAAAATTATAAATAGGAATAATAAAATTATAAATAGGAATAATAAAATTATAAATAGGAATAATAAAATTATAAATAGGAATAATAAAATTATAAATAGGAATAATAAAATTACAAATAAATGGCAATGATGTTTATCTTACGGGATAAACTAGGTATTGGTGCTGAGCCTCTTTGAAATGCCGGTAATAATAAACGCGATTCTGAGGAGAAGTTTATTACCACCACTACATAAATTATGATTACACAAAAGCAATAATGTTTTTTCTTTATCTTATACCTCCTATGATTTTATATTTATTCATTTTAAATCTTGTTTCTGTATAAATATACATATGTATATTTATTTTAAATATGTTAAACATTTGTTTAACATACTTACATAATGTACATAAACTGGTTTAAGTAACTAATAACTTGATTATCTTGTGATGATGTCACAAGATAATCTATGTCATAAGATAATCATTATTGTGTTCATCAAAAGATAATCACTCTGATGATGATCATGAGCTCATGGTTATGATTATCAACCAATTATGATCATTAAAATGAAATAAATCATTTTAAAAAAAAATGTTTAAAAAAAATTTATGTTTAGCTTCAAGATGTCATACATTATTTCAACCAAGAAATGTCTGATGTCCAAGTCTCTTTCCCTTCACATTTGTGGCGCTTACCTGGTTGTCATGAATTTTTATCATCCCTTGATTTTGATTTAGTTGGTGTTGAAAAGACAGAAGTTAAATTGCAGTCTGGAAAAAAAGAAGGGAAAAAAACTTTGCAATGTGCAGTGCAATCTTTAAACAACCTTTTAGGTATTTTTAAAATACAAAACATAAATTAACATAATTAAAAAAAATAAATATAATAATACTTAATAATACAATTTTTAGGTACTTTTAAAATGTTTTATTTCCTATCAACATAATTTTAGCTAAATATAAATGTCAATATTTTTATTAACTTATCATCAATTGGTTTATATAATTTACGAAATGATGTATATTGGGTAATAGATAAGTTAATTAAACTAAATTAGACTTTTTTTTCATTATAGATAATAATGAAGATGATACATTAATTAGTCAAACACAAAATTTAAATAATTCTGTTAGAAAATCAAGTTTAAGTAGTGAACTTGATTGTTTCAATGGTGTAAATGGTGGCAACACAAAGCGCTTAAAAGTGAAGACGTCAATTGATGGTTTTGAAAAGCGATTTTCACAAATTGATGTCAGTGACATGACCTTGTGTGAACAAGAAGTCGAACACTGGCAAAAAACATTTTATTTTGACAATGAAGATATAACTGATATTGAACCAGATATTATTGAACAGGAGGACATTGATGCATTTATTGACAATTTTAAAAAAAGTGATTTAGTGAATGATGCCTTGTGTAATAGTGACACTTGTGAAAAAAAAACAAATTCATTTCGAAAGAAAAGTTTTTTCTCTCGTAACTACCTTATTTCAAGTAGCAAAACTATGGATAGAGTTAACAGCATAAAAACTATGGATAGAGTTAACAGCATAAAAACTATGGATAGAGTTAACAGCATAAAAACTATGGATAGAATTAATAGCATAAAAACTATGGATAGAATAAACAGCATAAAAACTATAGATAGGATTGACAATATAAAAGGTTTGTTTTTTAGACATATTGTGTTTTTAATAGATCTTTATTTGATTTGAGAATAGCAAGTTTGATTGGTTCTGGCAAATAAAGTTAATATTGTCAGAGGTGATTTTATTTGTGGGTGTGTATTGGGCGGGGGTGTTCCACCCCCCATCCACCCACCCCATCCACAAGGTGATTTTTAAGTTATAGTCGCTTTTTTTTACCAATTTAGTCAGCTAGTAAGGTATTTGATAAAAATCAGTTGGGTAAATTTTAGTTTTGAAGTTTTTTTTTTTTTTTAGAAGCCAGTTGGTAAATATTATGGTTTTACCCCCTCCCCTCATTTTATTTGTAAAGTTGCCACTGAATAGTGTGATCATTATTGTTATTTTATAAACTATATGAATGCTCAATGAGTTAAGCCATTGAATTTTTAAATTATTTTATATAAGCATCTTGAAAAAATTGAAATTTTTTTATTAAGTTATAAAAGTTTTATAGCTATATTTAAGTTGACACTATTTTAAATATTTCAGACACAATTTAATGATTTTATTTTAAAAGCTAAGCGATTAGAGCTTAAAGTTTGAAAATAAAAATCCTAAACCTAATAAAATAAAAAAAAACTAATAGTGGCGACCTATAGTTATTGTCTTGAGTAACAGCCAGGTATTTTGGGTATTTATCTGTATAATCGCGTAAATTTATAAAGTAAGAATAGTCGATTTATCTTGCTGAATCATTTAAAAACACCTTTTTGCGTTTAGGTTAGCCAATTTTCACTTTAATTTGGCATTTTTTCATTTTAGTTTCGCAATTATTGTTTTAATTCGGCCAATTCTTATTTTAATTGGGATCACAAAATTTGCCATATTAAAGTCAAAATTGCCAAACTAAAATGAAAATCGACTAACCTAAAAGGCGCAGTTAAATTGTTTAATCATTTAAATAGTTCAAATATTAGATTAATTGAATTAATAATTTTTTATTTTTTTAAATATTTTTATTTGTCAAGATGAACAAGAAAAGGCTGCACAAAAAAGTAAAGAGGAATTTATTAAATGTACTAAACAAAAGAAACCTCCTGATGAGTGGCGGAGATTGAGGTTGGACAGTGATTACTTTAACAATAATGCAAACATTAAAACAATTAATGTACGAGATTCTTTTTGCGTGCATCGTGGTTTTTATTGTCGCCGTATTTCAGATTTTTCAACATCTTCAAGAAATTCATACGATTCTTCTTTGTCAGCAAAATCGCACAACGAGGAAGGTCTCAGAAAAAAGAAAAATTTATTCAATTTGATAAAAAAAGCTAAGTCAATTGGAAATATAGCCGATGAACCCGATAATTCTCATCATACTTACGATTCCGAAGAAAAAGTAACAAAAAAATTAAACAAAGTAAAAAAGAAAAAAACACTTTTCACTTTAAACATTTTAAGTAACAACGATCAGCTGAACAACAACAACAAGAGCAACACACTTCATAAGTTTGAGGAGGATAATAGTCTTTATACGAATGAAAAGAATAAAAAAAAGCAATCTTGGTTTGAAATATCTATGAAATAATATTACTTTTTAACGTTTTTTATTATCTAAAGAACAATGCTAGTATAGTGAAAGGCCAAAAATGTTTTTTACCACATATAAGTCATTGCACGTATCAATTGACAAAAGAAAAAGAATATATCAGTTTATTGACTTTTTATGGCTAAAAACACATTCAAAAAAGAGTTGTCACATAATTAATTTAAACAACGATGTCAATAAGGCAGATTAGTTTATTTTATTAGAGTTTAATTTATTAATATTTAAATTTATGCTTTTTATAATTAAGCATCAAAATATTTTTTATTTAATTTTTTGAAATATATGTTTAACGTCATGGTCACACTTGTACGGGGTTAATTTAAGTTATCTGTAGCACCTAAAAACAATAAAAATAAGGTTTCAGGAAAAACACAAAAATAAATAAAAGTATGTGAAAGTGCTTTACAGGGTCGGCTCGTGGTATAGGCAAACTAGACATTTGCTTATGGCGCCAAAATCTCCAAGGACACCAAAAATATGATATGAATATTAAAATATCGGAATGTATATTCATATTATTTTACTTATTTAAATTAATTTAGTCCATGATTATCAATACATCATCGCAACATTGTAACATAAAAATAAAAACATTTTTATTATAAATGTACTTGTTGCTTGATATGATTTTTATTGATATTTAAAAAAATTAATTAGAAAATCTGAAAATAAGCGGAGTTATTCAACTTTAAGTGCGGAAATTGGAAAATCTACGGTATGTAACATAGAAATTTGATTTAAGAACGTTTTTAATTTAATTCAATATGGTAACGTTTTGGTGACGTCAAATTGTTTGTTTGTCCGAATATCAATCCAACAACCATTAGCGTTTAAGAAATTCTTTTGTTTCTGATTGCATTTCGACCCCAGAAAGCTTTGCAAAAATCTATTTTTAGAACTGCAACCTATTCTGAAAAAAAATGTGTAAAACTTTTTTTATGAAATTAATATGTGGAAAAGTTTTTAAGTTCTGCAAATGTTTTAGCGACAATTAAATATTGTTGTTACTTAATCAAGACAACAATATTTTAACATTATTAAGTTAATAGCTCAAACCAGTAACAATGAAATAAAATAAAATCAAAAAGTAAAAAAAAAAATGTGTTGTTAAAGATTTAAATTTTTTGTTCATGTAATGCTGTTCACAAATCTTCACATTTAACAGGATACTTATGTAAAATATTTTTTACTAGAATAATTTAATTTTGAAAAGAAACTGATTTTGTCAATTGTTATTCTATTTTCTTTATTTTAGGAAAGTCCATGGATCGATTAAAGTTATCAGGCAGTAAAAACCGTGAAAAAAAAAAAAGCAGAAAAAGAACAGGCCAACAAAACTCAACAGGGTCACTTCTGAAGTTTCTGAAATCACTTTTCGATGGCAGCAAGATTGTGGAATCAGAATCGACCCCTGCAGCCTGTGGAGACGACAGGCTGCAGGGGTCGAGATCTGTGCATGAAACCTCTGTATCTGCAGCTCCTATTGCCTTTGATGACCAATGACTTGAAGATCAAGGAAGTCGACCTTTTACTTATTTTATTGACAAACAGGGCAATCAACAAAGTGGATCTGAAGCTACAGTATCTGAAACCATCTCGTTTGCTGCTCCTGAATTTTGTGAAGACACTTATGTGGAAGAGCAACTGCAATTAGATCATTACGATGTGCAATGTACTGTTGAAGGATCCAAATCAGTTGAGGCCACCCTAAAAGATAAATATGATCTCATAGATCCGGCATTGTGGCCACAGATTTATGCAACACATAGAATTTCCATTGTTACGAATGTGGATTTTCCAGTAGATGCTGCAGGGAGTAGGTTCTCACCTAGCTTCTACACTTGACATCTTCTGAATGGAGAATATGCCCACCTCTTTTGGTTGGTCTATTCCATAAGCAAAAATATAGTGTTCTGTTTTTTATGCAAATTGTTTTCGAATGTGAATTTTTCACTCTGTCCACCATGTAAAAGCATATCTGGCTTGGAAGGAATTGGAATTGCGCCAAGCGTCAGGTAAAACTATTGATGCACATCACCGGCGCCTTTAGAATTAAGTAACATTTTACAAAAAATGTTAACAATAATTATTCTCTTAGAATAAACCAATGGAATACTTATAAATTGCCTAGAATTAGGAGCAAGTATTCTGGCATACCGTTGACCGAAACTATAGAACACATTTCAAAAAACCAAACATTTAAATACGGCAAAATCATTAAACTCCTTTAAGTTTCTAATAAAAAATGAAATTTTTAAACATTATAAATAATTTTGCAATTTTTCTAAATAAATATCAAATTCCATTATTCTTAGTTTGAAAAAAAAAATGTGTCTTTTTTTTATATTTAAAACAATGTCAGTACTTTTTAAATGAATATTGTTAAAATTATATTAATACTATTTCCTTTCTTTCTTTAAATGTAAATATTTATAAAAGTTTTTTTTTTTATTATATTGGAATTGTACAATTGTATTTTTAACAATGTTATTCTATTTTAAATTTGTAAAGCCCACATAGGGGCTCTATGAAAAGATTGTGGTGGCTTTAGTCATCCGTTTCTTCTTTGAGCCCCTGCCTGTTTTTATTAATCGACTTTTTTTTGTATGTAAATGTTTCTTTGTAATTATATTTTCTTATTATATAAACAGCAAATATATATAAACTTAAAAAAAAAAAAAAAAAAAAAAAAAAAGAGACAGAACATTGGTACTGGTAGATAGGTACTGGAACGTCTCATTGGACTAGTGTGAATACATGTCATCCAAAATTTGGCTCTTTGGGGTACGAATGACAGACTATTTGAATCGCACAACGTAAATTTCCTAAAATTTGTGGAATTTTTTTCTACGTTTGATCCTGTTGTGAAGGAGCATATGAGGCGCATCCAAACAACTTTGATTAGTAATAATACACAACTAGTAACAGTGAGAATCCGTGAACATTTTGTGGGATTTGTTCCCATTGAGAATTCAATCGGGGCAGGAATGACTGACATCATTTTGAAAATGTTGGAGGAGAACCATTTGCCATTGGACGATCTCAGAGGTCAAGGCTACGACAATTGTGCTAACATTAAAGGAAAACACATCAGAGTAGAACGTTGAATACAGACCAAAATTTTTCTAATTGTCAAAAGTTTTTCTAATTGTCAACGCAACAGTGGAATGTCCTTAAAGAACATATCACTACCTTGAATGTGAAGTCATTAAGCGCTACCAGATGGGAAAGCAGAGTTAGCGCTATGCAGCCTTTGCGCTACCAAATTGGTCAAATTTATGATGCTTTATTGCAATTGGCTAATGATCAAACTCTCCATGGAGTCTCGGGTACCAAAACGCAAGCCGAAGTCCAAATAACACTTGACCTGCCAAAAATAACCAACCATCAAAATAAACCAACTCAAGCTATAGTAATTAACAAATCAAAGTTATACATTTTATGGTTCTTTTAATGAGTTAGCGAACATCAAACTTTAATTTTTAATTGTTTTAATACGTTTACTAAGATTTACTTTTATGGTGATCGAATATTTTATGAACGGCTCTTAATAATAAGACCTGTTAATTTTTTTTTTTGTTCTTAACTGACTTTTTGCATTACGATGTACGATTGAATGTATAAAAAAAAACAAAAAATTAAAACAAAAAAAACCGGAAATATACCGATAGTTGGCTTTGATAAGGTAAGGTTACTATAGATACGGATTTAAAGTTTGTTGAACACATAAAAATTGTAGTCTTTTAATAAAGTTCACAATAAAGCACTTTTTATAAGTTGATTTAAGTTGGTTTCTCCTTTGAACCAAAGCTACCTTATTTAATTCCAAGAAAGAATTAAAAAGGGCAGCTCTGGGTCAATGGTTATAGCACTTGCTTCAGAATCAAGAGATCCAATGTACGATGCGTGCTGAAGCCGTGTGTTAAACATTGGGAAGGGAATCGGCGTAAACTTTGTAGTTAAATGCATTGCCGCGGTGCTCTGAGACCGTTTGATTTTGTTAAAGCACCTTAATAACCATAAAAATAAGTTTTCTATTATTCTATTGATATGATTTTCCTAAATAAGTGTCCTTAGATTTATTGTAAAAAATATACTTATTGGTTCGAATGTTTTTATGCTATGTAATAATTAAATCTACAAATTATCAAAATTTAAGAACTCTACCTATGATAAAAAAATGACCAAACAAACTTTGATGTTGTAAAAAATTGCTTTTCTAAGTATATAGGTTTTAACGAGTTTGTGTTTATAACCCCTCGCTTCTAAGTAATAAAATTCTCTAAGTCGCTTCTCGCTTTGCGACTCTCTAAGTAATGATACCCTTAAAGTCATTTTTCGTTTTCAGACTCTCTAAGTATTGATATCCACTAAGTCGCCTCTCGCTTTGAGACTCTCTAAGTAATAACAACATGTCTAGTAAAAATCTAGAGATTTCAAAATCTTATTAAAAAAATGGTGACAAAAGTTATTTTTATAAAATTTGTCATTTTACTTTAATATTTTTATTAAATATTTATTTTTTTAAATATTTAAAATACAAACTTAGTTATTTTGAATTTCATTTTGAAGCTTTTTCAATCGAGTTTTTATTGATTTAATTAACGATAGTTTTGTTTTATGTTGATATTATTTTGGCGTTTATTATTTATTATTAGGTTGTTGTATTATTTTTTTATTATTTGTATTATTGTATTATTAGGTTGTTTTATTATTATGTTATTATATTATTAGGTAGCATGCTCTATCTGCCTAAGTAAAAGTGTAATAAGAAATGGATGTTCAGTTTGAAGTTTTTAGTGAATATTTAGTACTACTAAGTCTGTCTTTTTACTGTGAATCCAGCATTCCTACCCTACTAGAATTGCCTCAAACTTCAAAGTGCAGTGTAAAAGTCATTCCGAAACAATGTTGTTTAAAAGTAAATAGAAAAGGTTATCTATTTTAATATAAAATAAAACACAAATGTTATCAACTATAAAAGAATTTAATTAATAGTTGCTAATCAACCAGTATTTTGAAGTTTTTTTGTTACCTATCGTGAACATTTTTGTTCACGGTAGGTAATAAAAAGTTTGTTTTGTAAAAGCTAGCCAAGATATTAATTAATAGATTTGTTGTCATAATGATATAAATCCACATTTAAATAGATGTAAAAAAGATCACTTAGCTACTAAGCTCCGT